ACACTGACACTCACACTTTGAGGCTGATTGCTGCATATAACACCAACACACAGACCCTCACACTGCAAGAGGACGCATATCAGCTGCGGGGGTTTCGCTGCTTCAGTGTGCCAGAAGGCGTTGACGCCGCCGCTTTTCTCAAAGCAGGCAACAATGCGCGTACATGTGGCTGTGGCAATATGGCGGCGATGAAGTGCAGCACCAATGTTTGCGGACGAAGCTGCACACAAGAGTTCGATTTCGATTTGAGCGTACAAAGGGCAGGGATTCTATTTTTTGAGCAGATACAAGAGATTCGCGCATCAATGTGCAGGAATTCGATTGCAGGACCGGAATTTGCACAATTAAACAAGATTCGTGCACTGAATCGCAGCGCACTGAAAAAATATGCCCTGTCTCACGTACCAGACTTGCATTCACTCCGCCTGTGCCATGCCGCGCAAGAAGGCACGCCCCGCTGCCCCCGCACCGCTAGTGCCTCATGAAGTGAGTGAGGTCATGGACTGGCTCGGCACAGACCACCTGGCACCGTGCTTCATGGTCAGCCATGCGTGGCAGGGTGAACTCGTGCACAGGCACCCCGAGCTCAAGAAGCTGAACAAGCTCAACACTTACCAAAGGAACACATGGCATCACCTGCGCGGTTTCCGACTCACCAATGTGATTGCAGCAGTGCAACGCCGGTGTGTGCTCTGCCACGAACGCTGGCAAGGGGGGATCAACCACACGTTCGGCATACCTGCACACCCGAAGTGCGTGCGGGCGCAGCTCATCTTGAGCGTGCCATGCGACTTTCCTGCAGCCTACGCATACCAGAACCTTCCTTACCAGATCATTGCAGGCTGGACGTACAATGCAGGTGAGTTCGCTTGCGACGGTTTCTGGCACCTCCCGCACCCTGCCGTTCCACGAGAGTGGACCATTGTCGGCGCTATGGAAGACAAGGCAGATGAGATCAGTGCGTTCAAAGCTGAGGAAGAGCGCCGCAGGGCTGAGGCAGAGCAACGTCGCATTGAAGCTGCTCAGGTCCGTGCAGCAGAAGCCAAGGCACGAGCTCAGGAGCGGGAAAGGAAATGGCGCAGTGACATTGCGGCGGAGGCTGAGCAGCAGCAAACGCCGTTTAGAAGCTGGTCAGCACTGCAACAAGCCTTACGTGATGCACCGCATGTAGAGGGTACAGTACTGCGTGACAGTGCACGGGAGACTGTGAGAAGGGCAGCACTGGTGTTGCAGGAGGCGTCCCACATCCCTGGCGGCTTGCTGCAACAAGCTTTTGTAAAGTTTGATGCTGAGCGTGTCGCTCTGTTCCGCAGGTATGCCCCTCACATTCGTCCAAAGCTGTGGACTCACGCATTTGCTGCAGATGAGATGGCTAGCTTGAGACATGGTCTAAGGTCCCGGCAGATGTTGAAGATGAGTGCGCATCACTCTTTGTGAGAGCTGAAGAGCGCGGCATGGACGGTGCGGCCTTGTGCACTCAAGTGCAGCAGCGGGGCTTGACAGTATTCATGCCCACGATTGTCAATGCTTGTCGCACTGCGACTGACGTTAGCGATTTCAACGAAGTGTTCGAATCGCTGGACATCTTGCCGAGGTGCACAGAATTGGCAAAGCGCCTGGTCAAACATACTAGACTCAAGGATGCAGTCCGTAGCTACCGTAGCGCGTTGGGCGTCTCAGCAGATGCATTTCGGCTGGCGGGGTTCCGCTGCTTCACTGTGCCGGAGGGAGCTGACGCCGCCGCATATCTTAAAATCAGGAAAGCCGGCAACAACGGGCGTGCATGCGGCTGCGGCAATATCGCGGCGCTGGAGTGCAGCAACAACATGTGCGGCCGATGCTGCACAAGACAGGGTTGCCCTCATCACACATGAGTATCACCAGGCACTGTTTTCGATGGAGTTGACTAAATGATCACGTTTTCCCAAGACATACCCAGTATGTTTGTTGTCATTGTTGCAATTTGTGATGCAGACAGTGTATGACTCACAGCAAATATGTCTGGGCCTATGTGAAGGTGGATGGGGCACTGTCAGTCCAAGCAAACGCACAACCAGAAAACTGTGTTGCTGCGTTTTGAGCTGACAAGGCCCATCATTCTGCATTGCGTGGAAACTAATGTAGCAGGCCATGCATGCGACTTGTACCATCGGTTTCTGGCCAAGACAACGAAGCTCGTGACCTTGCAGGTTGACGAGGGTTCATACATAACTGCCATGACCAGCTTCAACAACAGAACGTGGGACACGCACCAACTACTGGCCAGCGCCGGGCATACATACGACGTGCATGATGAACAACAAAAGCTTGTCTTTGTGCAAAAGCAGCAGGACACACAGGAATCACTGACACCACAGAAGCATTGACATGGCCAGCCTTCATTGATAATGTACACGTCGCATGCAACTAAAGTACACTCACGCTTGCACCAGCGCATAGCCTACTGCAATATACTGGCACAGGGTCCCTACACTACAGCTTAGGCGGGGCGCGAACAGAGAAGAGCGGGGGTGGCCCAGCTACTAGCGGCGCTTGCCAGCAAAGACTTCTGCGAGTACCTCACGGAGTCCCTTCTCCTGCTCATCAGTCAGAGCAGGGGCAGGCTCATCTTCCTGCAGGAGGCCAGCCCGAATGCTCTCCTTGAGCTCGGCTATGTCGTTCTCAAATGTGGTATGCAGGCTGAAGATGCTGTGGTGAGCATCAATGAACTGCTGCAAGAACCTTTCAAGGCGCTCTCTCTTATCGGCGTAGTCGGCTGGTGAAGCTGACTGTCGCTTCAAGGTGACCCTCACGTCATGAGCATCGAAGTACAGCCCTTTGAGGTTGTAAAAGAGGCGGGCCTCTGTGCGCCACATCAGACCGCGGTCAGAACAAGCATGCACGAAGACACCCTTGAGGTCCTCTGTGACCTTTTTGATGTCTGCTGCGTCGCTCGCGCTATAGCCGCCAAGCTTATATCCGCCTTGGCTGAGATTATCATAGTACCTCAACATGGCTCTGTCAAATACTTTCTTGCGCTGGTTGTAGACTGCAAGCAACTCTCGCTTGCGCTTGTCGGAGGGAACTGGCTTTCCGTTCAAGCCATGGTACCGGTAACTCAGCTCTTTGAACTCTAGCCTGTCAGACACCTTGCGCTTGAAGGCGCTGATGAGAGCATGATAGTCTTCCGCTTCACGGGTGCCGTCCTCATAGTGAGGCAATTTGTACCATGACTCGCTAGGCATCTTGCCGGCCAGCACTTGACGTGCTGGTGCGACTTTTTCACGGCTATATAAAGCAAGGCGCCAGAGAGTTTCCGGGTCAAACCCCAGACAGGTTACATCTCTGTGGTTGCTGGTGTAGCATTCCCACGCGGGGCCGATGCTGTGGTCAAGGTCACGAGCCGACACACCGTGGCCTGCATCGGGGTCAAAGAAATAGTCCCCCACTGGCTGCACCTCCTCCTCCTCCTCTCCTGCGTTCAAAGCAGCGTCCATCGGCGCAGCTCCGCCCGCATCTTCATCATCGCTTTGCGTCAGGTCTATGCAGTCTTCCTGCTGCATACTGCAAAGGGTGAATAGCAGTATTGATGGACAAGGAGTTAGAAGGCCATCAATTGGCAGCAGCTTCTTATATATGAGCAGCGCGGGGCAATCTGGCAAAATCAGAGCGCCAGGTGCATACGACGCAGCAGCGCTAGATGGGCAGCTGCATATGCTGAGGTTACTTGCGTATGCGCAGCCTCAGCAACGCACGATCGGCCTGGAGTTTGTCTGAGGCATTGCAACAACAAATATATATTGTATGTTGCAGCTGAATTGACCTGCCGGACAACAAATGGATGCATTGCTGAATGCTCACTGCCCCATTTACAACTTTGACTACCGCGAACCCGACCTTCCAATGTCTCTGGAAGCATATGTTGCGACCAAACAGTTTGTGAGGTCAGACACTGCTACAGGCATCGTAAAGCAGGCTGAAAATGGCGACTCAGTGCTGCACTATTTCCTGTTCTTCGAACGAGATGGTGGCACAGTCGTTGAGGGAAAGGCATTTGACACGCATCCCTTTGACATTGAGCAGGTTAGTGTCAGGGTGACAAAGCACGGAGTGGTGAATGCGGTTTACTTCTACCCGCATTCTGCAGTGGAGTCGTTTGCAATCACCGGCACAGATCTGGACAAGGTACTGCAAGAGGGGCATCCCGTTGTGTACATTGCCTACGGCAAGCACGCATCATACCCTGTCCCAAATGTCTCCAGATACTTGATGGCCGGTGATGAGTGCCTGAAGCCCGTCAGGTATGACATCAAGGCGGTGCAGGCGAGTAATGCTGTCATGAAATCGCCAGGGTTCGGAGCAATCCTTCCATTATCGAGGCGCATAGTGCGGGATCTGGAGACTATACCTGTCGTGCCACTGGCCTTGGTAAGCACGAGGATGCGGTTCGCCGTCAATGACAAATCGCGCACACTGATGTATGTTGCAATTGGGGTGAGCGGGGGTGTGCTGCTTACGGTAATAGCAGTGCTGTACGTGAAGCGCAAACGTCTTTACGATGCCTACAAGACACTTTTCGGCAAACACATAACGACATGAGAATGCAATGCTCAACAGCTGAATGTGCAGACAGTTGTCATGCTGCTATGGACGTTTCAGCACCATGTGCTTCATGACCCAGATAATCCAATGGCGTTAACTTAAGCAGTCATCAACTTAAGGATGGTACGCACAAGAATGACTGGTTGTTGTATACCACAAATCACTCAAGTCAGACCTAAACCTGGAGACACACCACTCCATGCCATTGGTCACCTTTGTGCAGCAGATTCATACATGAACACTGTACGACACATTGAAAATCCTGTCCCTGGAAAGAGATTACGAATGGCATTAGTGGCTGCAATATTATGTGTTACTTTGAAAGAGTTGGTGTGCATTGCAAGGTAGCCATAGATTAAAAGCTCTTTTAACTTTTGGCCTGTGTGCTTGAGATGATGTTTGAAATCATAACCAATGGCGGCAACATATGGCTCAATTGGAAGCTGTTCAGCTTTGCACTGAACAGATTGTGGGTTCAAGTCCCACTGATGACAGTGTTTCTGTTGTAATGCCCGTTTCGGGTGTACAGATTCCAGACCAGGTAACTCCTGATCTTCATCAATACTCACGCCTACCTGCGGGTAGGTTCAAATTAGGCTTCGGCTTAAATTGACAACGGTGAGATAAGAGAGCAATGCTGATTGCAGGCAGCTGTCATGCTGCTGCTTTTCCTGGAGCATAAATCTCAACAGCAGGTTCTTAAGGCCCTACGCACAGGTGTCTCTGCAACGCAACTGTCGTTCGTACCATGCGTGTAAATCAGGACTTCAAGTCAGCAGCGGCAGACATGTCTGCTGCATTAAAGCGCTCGCAATGCTGGTCATGATGTTGTACATGGATGCAAATATATACACCAAGCTGCAGCATTGTGGCTCACCTAGATGATGAGCGATACGCCACAACGCTTCCTGGCGAGATTTCTGCAGCTGCAAGTGCAGTTGTCAACCAGCGCTGTCGGTGCAGGAGCAGCTGCTGCTGCTAGTCGTTGCGTTTTAACTGCAATATGCGCCTTTCTGCTGTTTCCTCCCCCTGCTGTACGCCACGCGTGCGCCACCGTTGCCCACCCTCTCCACTGCTTATTAAAATGAGCTGGTTCTGTTGAGCAAAATATGCCGCTGCTGCTGCTGCCTGCCACGCCGCTGCTTACAGGACGTTGACAAGGCAACAAAGCCGCTTTCACCGCCTGTTGGCTGGCCTCAGAGCGCCTCGCCTTGCGGCTGCTGCCACTGAACCTCTCTGTTTGATTGCAGCAGAAGCAACGCGGGGGGTTAAGCTGGGGGGAATCTGTACCCGGGGGACACGTGGCCGCAAAATACAGTGTTTTTTGCGGTTCGTGTTGAATCACTGTGGGCCAACCCGGGATCCCGAGTTTGTGTGAATCACTGTGGGATCCCGAGCTTGAGCACTTCTCTGTCAAGCACCAAGCCTAGCGACACACGAACAGAACGAGCATGCCAGGTCAGTCATAGTGTACCTTGCGTCCCTGAAGCACTGTGTCCCTGCAGCACCAAAGTAGCACCGCGCTTTGCTTCTCACACAAGTCCTTCTGCTGCTGCAGGTGCCATGCACGCCATCCTGCTGCAAACGGTAGGCGCCATTATGGGCGCTCCGCCTGCTCTGAGGGCAGCGATAACAACTCGAAGGATACCAGCACCAGAGCCAGCAGCTGTGGCGTCTGCAACAGCAATCACTGATCCCACAAAGCCTGAAGCGGCTGCTGAGGCAACAACTGCTCTGGAGACACCCGCACCAGCAACAACTGCGGCGGCGACACCTGCTACTGCTGAGACACCTACTATTGCAGAAGTAATGACTGCTCCGGTTACACCCGCAGCTGCAGAGGCAGCAACTGCCCCGGTGACACCTACATCTGGTCCTCCTTCGGCGGTGGTTGCACAGGCCGCAGAGTCACAGCTTCCAGCGCCACCGCCAGGAATGGAGCTGCTCTTCATTCCGTGGTCTAAGAAATGGGTTTTGGTGAGGTCGCAGCGCAGCACGGGGAAGAGGCAGCACATGGAAGTTGCAGACCACAATCAGGCAAGTCAATTGAAATTCTGTAAGGTTAGGTTCATAGAGAGCACATTGCTTACGTTTTCATGCTGCTTGTTGCTTGATTTGTTGCAGGGCGCTGATACGCTACCGGATGCGAAGAAGATGTGCAGCACTGCTCCCAGGGACAGCATGTGTACGACAAACGCACCTGCAGCAGAGGCGCACTAGCTGCCTTGCCGCCGCGTGCACACATCAGCGGAGTTGATATCAAGGACAGCTCGCTGTCAGCAGCATGCACTGCGGTCAGCAGCATGCACTGCGGTCAGCGGCATGCACGGTAGTCTAAAGTATGCCGTGCTTATTGGCACTGTACATTGTATCTGTTGTGGGCACGCAGCCAATGCTGGACTTGCGAAAACGTGGAGAGTATATCATTCTACACCTGGTCATCTAGTGAGGTTTCGGCTTGCAGTGTCTGTCTATCACTTGATGTAAATGTACACCCTTATCTACATGCATCTACGTCCGTGCGTGTGCTGCATATGTATTGCGTTGTATATACATTTTCACGTGTGATGCGAGACGGCCTTGCCAGCATGTTCTGGACGCGGTCACGAGTCCAATATTATAATATTGTTCATTTGTTAAAACTGTCCATTACACATTACTCACAACGCGACGGTGCAGTCAGAACATGGTGGCAAGGATTTTCATCACCCTCAAAGGCCATCGCATTCAGCAGTGTCCAGACGTCAGGAAATCAATAGTCAGTGATCCGGTCCTCCTGGATCAGTATGATCCAGCTCTCAATGAGGGCATCCTTGCCACACAGATCATGACAGGCTGCAACGCTCCTGTTACTTGGAGACACCTGTGCATCTACGGATGCGGCAGTGTGCACACATGGGATGCAGCACCGGGCAGTCGCCGTCACGGTGCAGGGTGTCCGAAGTGCTCGCGTCGCAAAGCCTGCAAGTGTCGTGACATGCCACCACCAGTACCGCCAATCAAGATGAGGTTCATCTACCTCAAAGGCAATAGGATTCAGGACTGTCCGGATGTGAGTAAATCCATCGCCAGCAATCCAGTGCTCATGGAGCAGTATGATCCTGCTTTCAACGATGGCATTCTGCCGACACAGATCATGTCCGCCTGCAATGCGCCTGTGACGTGGAAACATAAGTGCGTTCTGGGATGTGGTGAACTTCACATCTGGGACGTATCGCCTCAAAACCGACGCCACGGCGAGGGATGCGCAAAATGCTCATCAGGAGGAGCTATCTGCAGGTGCGCATCACTGGGAGCCAAGTTCCCAGACATAGCAGCAGACCTGCATCCCGACCAGGACATCGACCCATTCACCATCGCACCTGGAAGTGCAGAGAAGATCATGTGGAGGCACTTCTGCACGTGTGGCGAGGAGCATGTGTGGACGTCAACGGTGTCCAATCGCACCATGGGAAAAGGCTGTCCATACTGTGCAACGGTGAGATCAATCAATGAGTTTGCATTCATATCATACACAATACAGGATAGATGCTTACCTCAGAAATTACCATGTGTGTGTCGCAGGGTGGACCAGCGAAGGTCTGCAGGTGCCGTTCTCTGGGAGCACTCTTCCCCCAAGTGGCAGCAGAGTTGCAAGACAAGACGATTGACACATTCACAGTGCCGCCCTACAGCAACAAGTCGTACGCTTTCGTCTGCGACCAAAACCACAGGTGAGCACAATCTCGGACGTTTGTAGTTGTCTTGTTCTGTCACGGCTCAACGGCTAATGTGTACATCATGCTGATGTTCTCAGGTGGAGTGCATTGCTATACAACCGCACTGGACTGAACAAAACTGGCTGTCCAATATGCAATGAGTCAAAGTTGGAGACGGAGCTGGCGCTTGCCTTGACGGACCTCGGCATCAAGTTCACGCCATACGTGCGGCTGCCACAGCGATTGCGCTACGCTTATGACGTCGGCCTGGATGACCTGAACGCTCTCATTGAGGTTGATGGAGCTCAGCACTTTTTCCCTACCTCTTTCAGTGGGCACGACGATGAAGACATTGAAGACAACTTTGAGCAACAGAAGAGACGCGATGCTCACAAGGACTTGATTGCGAGCCTCAATGGCATGCACCTGATGAGAATTCCATACACTGCAAAGGGAGCCATCAAGACGCACGTAGCTCAGTTTGTGGATATGGTCAATCACAGCAATGGGGGGCCAATTCTTCTCCACATCGACAAGGAAACCTACCAGAAAAGTGGGTACATGGCGTGAAACTATGTGTATGCCCCGTTACTTCCGTGCTGTGCCATTGTTGCTTTTTTTGTTGCATCGCGTGTAACCACTGTAACACCTGCCAAGTCACTTGCAAATGTTTACCATGATGCTCGCCGTGTGCATCACAGTGACAACTGCGATGGCGCCACTTCGAACACAGTACCATCCCGCCGCGCGCCTGGCGGACATTAGCGCGGTCGTGTCAAAGGCGCGCATCGCCGACGTCGACATCGCGCTCGCGCGTGTCGCCGATGGATCAGTCGTTGCTTTTCTAGACGCGTGCCCCCACCGGGGCGCTTCGTTTGCTAAGACACGCCTCCTCGCCAACGATACAGCAGCGCAGTGTCCTTACCATGGATTTACCTATAATCTGAGGGACGGCCTTCTACAAAGCGGGCTGGGGTGCAGCGAGGGCTGTGGACGACTGGCAATGCTGCCGGTGTTCGTCGATGACGGCCTCGTATGGGTACGACCGACTTTGGAGGATGGTGAAATCATTAAACCTCGCACTATGCCGCGTCAACATGCCGAGCACGGGTACCGCACCATCACTGGTGAGACGCGCATTGCCTGCACCGCCGAGCAAGTTCTGGACAACATCTGCGACAATATTCACCTCCCCATGGTGCACACTTTCGGCAACCGCGAGGACCCGGTGCCGCATGAGTACATTGCATTGCGGTCATCGCCGCACGACGGCGTCGCGACGTTTCGATACTGTACCTCGAGCACTTCGGCTTTTGCGTTTCTGAGCAAGTCAAAGTACCTGGCTGTCCTTAACGAGTATCGCCTGCCCTTCACCGTGGGCACGACCGTGACCACGGAGGACGGACTCGTCAAGGTCATCTGCGCGCACGCCCGCGATGTAGGGCCGCGCGAGTGCGCCGTCTTCTGGTCCCTGACGCGAAACTTCATGACCTCACCGCTGTTGGACCCCGTGGTGGATGGCATCATGCGCATGACCCTCGCGGAGGACGCGGCGATACTAGTCAAGTGCGATCCGCGACACGCGCGCGGCAAGTTTCATTCACGGTATGACGCGTTGCAGGTCATGCGCAGACACGCCATGCGGAATCTGGGGCGGTGAACTTGTTCAAACACTGCAGGGCGTGAATCTGTTCACATGTACACATAAACCAAGACAACAATCGCGGCTCACGCATAAAGACGACGCATATGCAGGGGCGGTGGTTTGTATGCACACCATATCCAGTTCAGAAGGC